CTGCTGTTGTTGCTGCTGCTATTGCTGTTGTTGTTGCTGCTGCTGCTGTTGTTGCTGCTATTGCTCCTACTTTTGAAACTGTTGTCACTGTTGATGACGATGGGATTGTTTTTCGAAGTTCTACTTATTTTCAAATATTTCATTTTTTCCACAGGCAGCTAAACTGGATGCTTATCACTCCCCAACATTTTTATATCTTGGTCATTATTATCACGAAGTGCAGAAAGACCTAAGGTTTGTACAAAAGCATCATCAAGTCATGTTACCCTAATTTTATCAAATATAGTGTAATAATTTCAATCCCTGATTCTATCCAAATAGACCTCTTTACCTTGGGCTTACAGTAATGTTTTGTCCATTTCAGACAATGTGAGCATCATATTGATTTTTCAAGGTTGTCACAAAAGAATTGCAAAAGCATTTGGAAAAAACGTTTTGGAGTTCGTTTTGTTTATAGAATGCGTGATTTCTGCTGAAACATGCAAAATCCTGGTTTTGTTTATTGCATGAATGGCTGGAACATTAGAGGATTAAAGGGTCATCAGTAAAAAAAATGAACTTTTGTTTTGGAGATCGTTTTGTTTATAGAATGTTTGATTTCTTCAGAAACATGCAAACTCCTGGTTTTGTTTATTGCATAAATGGCTGGAGGGTTAAAGGGTCATCCGTAAAAAATCGAACTTTTGTTGAGCGTCAAACCTGTTTATTTAATGAAAGCTGTTTCCTTGTTGACTTAATAGAAGGGTCATGAATTTCTTACTGAGTGAAAGTGGAGGGATGCGAATCCTCCAGTCCCCCTCCTATAAAAAACGTACTTTCACTCAAGTTTCTTCACATCTTCTTGCAGCAAAGCATGTCGGTGCTACCAGAAAGCATATGATCTTGAACCGCAATGTGATGAAGCCGGTAGTCACCTTGGAGATATGCTCACTGAACTTGGTAGAGAGGTACAGTTCATGGACCTATCTAATAATGTGAACTCTCACACTCTTTTGGAATAATGTCTCTCTGGCTCACATACCTTGTTTTCAGAATCCTGTAACTCTGAAACAACCTCTGGGCTAATCAAAGTCAGGGCATAGCTAACACACAGGTAGAACCCTGAAACGACCTTTGGGCTAATCAAAGTCAGGGCATGGCCCAGTCACAGATTGAACCCTGAAACAGCCTAGATTGGGCTGATCTAAGTCAGGGCATGGCTAAGATGTAGAAATGTTTGCGGAGGGAGGAAAATCGGAGAAAACGGGGAAAACCTTGAACAAGGGGAATACACAACGAACTCTATCAAACCTAACACAGCAAGCCATTGCAGCGCACTGATTAATATGTACACTGTAGGTTTTTGAAATTAATTACAAGATTTAATTGTTTTAGGCTGAAGCTCTACAGTTATTTACCAATGTTACCAATAATGCTCCGGCGGGGGAAGCCAAATGGGCCTGGATCCGACTAGGATTGTATCATCTTAAACATGACAAGAACAACGAAGCTATTAATTGGTACATGACGTTTTTTATGGTTATGGTGACGATGATGATGATGATAACAGTTGTTGATGATGGTTATGATGATGATGATGATGATGATAGCAATTGCTGATGTTGATTATGGTGATGATGTTGATGATGATAGCAGTTGCTGATGATGATTATGGTGATGATGATACTCAATGTTAGTGTCGTAGCCTACAGGGCTTTATTCTCTGGCCATTATTCTTTCTTTTGTTATTGGTTTCTCGGTTCTAACACTTTTGTGTGTTCACAGTTTTCAGAGTTCTTTACGAGCTGATCCCAAGGACTCGTAAGTAAAGTAAATCCTAATAATAATTAATGTAATGAGAGTACACTTGAGCATGTAGTTTTAATGTTTTTAATGATGATGAAAGATATGATGTTGAGGTGAGGCATGAAAGATAATGAAGAGGAGGGTATCATTATGATAGCGCTGCTTCTGTTGATGTAGTTGATGGTGATGATGATGATGAGGATAATGGGGATGATGCTAATGGTAGTTGTGATGCTGTTGATAATAATAATAATAACAACAACAACAACAACAACAATAATAATAATAATAATGATAATAACAATGATAATAGTAATAACAATAATAATAATGATAAAGCCTTTATTTCTTGAGGGTAATACTAAATAGTACAAAGGTGCAGTACTATTAAACTCGTAGCCCTCCTAAGATGATGATGATAATGATGAATACACTGATGATGCTTTGACTATCACAGGCATTGTTGGGAGTGTCTAGGAGAGGCTTACATGAGTCGAGGAAGCCATACTGCTGCACTCAAGTCCTTCGCACGAGCTTCTGAGGCAAGTAGTGTTAGTTCACTTCAAAAACCTCTATTAAAATGTCAGTACTAATCTTGTCTTTGTCATTTGACTTTTTTGTAGCTGGATTCATCGTCTGTTTATAGTCTTTACCAGTGAGTATTTATGAATACGATTCTTTCCTTCCCTTTCTCTTCTCTTTCTGTTAGTACAGGAACGTAACAAGATCTTGGTCATACGGAGGGCAATGTACCATATTCTTCCAATACACACTATCTTGTATGCGTTTCATCGCGTTTTTTGCCACTCCCCCTTGCCACACTTGTGTTAGTCCATCATCTGCTCCCCCTCTCCTCCTACCCCTATATTGCCCCTCTACCTCACTCAACGCCCCTCCCAACCCCTTCACCTGAAAAAAATACATCCATACATTGAAGTTTTCACATCAAAAGGTTTTTTAAAGCGTTTTTTATTTTTATTTTTGCCAATAGAATTGCAACTATAAAGCAACTGTTGTGTGTTTACGACGAAGCGATCAAAGAGTACCAGATGATATTGGATCAACAGCCTGGATATGTGCCTGCCTTGAAAGGTATAAGGTTCTATTGGCAACAATAAACAATGGGTGATGGAATATTCTTGAAACTGTTTCTTCCTGATCTTGGTAACAAAATTTTACAATTTGGGCCTTGTACTAAGAGGTCTTTTGAGGCTACCCCCGTAAACTGAAGGGTTGTGTAAAAATGAACTCCAGATCATAAATGGAAAGAGCATCTTGTGATTAGGAAGAAGACCAAGTTTCCCATATTTCTTTTATTCATTTATTTTTCTTTAGTTTAATGATTATTTTCCCATAGGATTTGGTGAGACCCATCTGTGTCTTGCTCTTGAATCACTGGCTCAGGATTTCAACAAACGTGCTGTAGATCACGTGACTCAGGGACTAACGGCACTGTCAAGGTATGTTTTTGAAGACGTTTGCGCATTTGTTACGGTCATGGTGCAGAAATATGAATATGTGCTTCAATCCAATCATAGCGTGCATCTAATCAGTGTGACTGCACATGGCACTGCACGTCCAATGCATTTTTCACAATCATGCTTTAGCCAAAATGTGCAAAATGTGGAAGTCACGTTAATTTTGGGTCAATAATTTTATTTCCTTTCATTGTTTTTAATCAGGATTTTAACTTGATGTTTGTTGATATTCTAAGGGCGGTGGAATCAAGACCTAATATGTCATGTTTATGGAAGTTGATTGGTGATTGTTGTACTGTCATTAACCCTCTACCAGACTGTATTATCAGGTATTGTACATATTGATATTCTGTAGTGTCCCTAAACAGCTGTCTGTCTCTCCACTAAAAGGTGTTAAATTTTCACTTGATGTTACATTCAGTCTTGACAGCATTGCTGTTGTTGCTTTTGTTTTTGTTATTGCTGCTGTTCCTGACGTTGTTGTTGTTATTGTTGTTACTGCTGTTGTTGTAGCTGCTGTTGTTGTTGTTGT